ATCCGCTCCGTACCTCAGATGCGGTGCTAGGTTGCTACGCGCTGTCGGTCCCTTTTTCCATGTGGAACCTGCTGATCTTACTGATGTTACGCAGCTGCCTACAATTCACCGCAGCCTAGCTTAACACAGCTCCTTGCTGGGTGTCCTTTCGTTTAGGGAAGTATATTTAGGGTACAATCCTGCTGCAGGCCCCACATGCAGAACTCCAGCCACTTCAGCTGGGTGTCCAGCTGTGAATCCTGCAGGGGATCAGATCCCCCTCTGAAATTTTAAAAAGATCTTAAAATACCTCTATGCTGCCTTCCTCAAAAAAAGCAAACAGCTCCATAGCATTGAACTAACACGCCATAACTCGCAAGTTGCCCATGGGCTCCACGTGCCCTGGACTGAGGGCGCTGCCACCATGGGCAGCCCCCGGCTCCGGTGTAGCCGGACCGGAGCCCTGAGGCCGAGTGGCCGCGGGCAGCTGGTGGGGAAGAGATGCCAACCTCCGTGCTGCATCCCTGCTGAGGGGACGCAGCCCAGCGCTGCCCGTCCCTCATCCCTCCCCAGCTGCCTCCCGCGGGACCCCTCTCACCAGCTTCACTGCCAGCTTGTACTTCTTCTCTTCTGACGTCGTGTTGGATGGAGCAGGTGGAGCAGCGGTTTGGTTGCCTGCAGCGGTTTGGTTGTCCATGGCAGTTTGGCTGTCCACGGCGGTTTGGTTCTCCATAGCAGTTTGGTTGTCCGCAGTGGTTTGGTTGCTCTCAAAGATGTCCAGGATGATGGGGTTGTCTTTGTCGTGCTCATCGATGAGGACCAGGGGTATCTGGTGCCAGAGCTCCAGGTCGAGTGGCGCGGAGGCATTCTCGCTGCTGTTCCCCGGCACAGGCTGCAGGATCCTCTCCAGCGCCGCTTCGATGAGCCTGTCCAGCTCTTTCAGCAGATGCTTCACCTCTGAGTATCTGCAGGACAAAGAGCAGTTACCAGGCGGTGTCAAGGTGCTGGGGACGCGCAGCAGCTCGTCTGCTGCTCCGCTGGCTTGGACCTTCCCTCAGATCGCTGCCTAAAGATTTACTGGAGAACGATGGGAGCCTCCGGGAGAGCATGGCCAGCTCGGACACGGGCATCCCAGATCCTGCAACTGGGCGGACAACCAGTGGAAGGATAAGCAGAGAGTGCTGTGGTGGTGAGCAGTGTTCTGTCAGTGCAGAACTGAACCGGTTGTACTTCAGTAATTCACTATAGTTTACATAAAACTTCTCTAGCAAGTAGAGAGAAAAAACGCAAATTCCTGCGTGTTGGTCAAGACCGTCTTGCCTTGGGCTATGCTATTGCGTGGATATAAATTTGTAGCAACTCTAACAAAAATCAGTTACTCCTTTGCAATTACGATCGCGTTATATCACTGCAGCTCACAGCTGATACTACTGTTTAACCAGCTCTTAATGGCTGGAGTGTAGGCGATAAGAGGTACGGTCACGGCGAGAAAGGAGAATGAAAGGAATTGTGGGGAAAGATTGAGAGCCTGATTTTGGTTGTGACAGGTGAGTTGAACTTCGAGTTTTCCCTGAGCCAGGGAAAGTTTGCAGGAAGGCAATAACCATCGTTAGATTAACCGATACAGTAAGGAAAACCAGGCAAACTCGCAGGCACACGAACCCTCCTCTGGACCTGAGCTGTTCACCTTTGTGTTGTCCTCCTTTGTTTGGTTTTTAGTGCCGCTTGGTGAGCCGAAGGATCATTTCCACTGATGCTCCTAACAGGATATCTGAGACAGGACCAGGTCCACCGTACCTCACGCTAGCCAGGTAACTGAGGGTGTTAAAGCACCCCTGGGTCAATTAGGTGAAGAAAAACTTACTTGAAAGGGTTGGCATTGCAGACCGTGACTGCTGGGAACTTCATGGTCTTAAAGCCAATGGAGAGAGATGAGGTGACGTTATAGGAGAGGTAGGTGTTGATGAGGATACCCCACTGCCAGAAGACCAGAGATGCAAAGAGCAGCGTTAGGAAGAACCAGATGAATTTCTTCTTCGGCCCCTCTTTGATGATGCGCTTCGGGCCGTGGGTGTTGGTGTTGTCGCAGTACCAGACCAGCAGCTCCTTGTAGGTGTAGCCGGGGCCCTTCTGCAGGCGGTGCAGCGCCCGAACGAAGTACTTCTTCAGGTTCATGCTGCTGTCTGCGCCTGGGGGAAAAGACATCAAAACAGCCGTGCTGAGAGGCGAGGTTTGTGTTACGCCAAGCGTACTGGTGTCGTCAGCAAAGCAGAACCGGAGTAGTTATGTGACGGCATGACCGTGGGTTTGTAACCCCGGTGACATTCAGAGCGGCTGTTCTGCAGGGTTGTGCCGTGGCAGTGAAACGGCACGGAGCCCCTCGCCTCCTGAGAGGGCACCAGGGGCACGTTTGTGCTTTGCAGTCCCGAAGGCGGTGGGTGTTTTTGTCACGGCCTCAGGAGAGTTAAGTGACTTGGACCTGCTGGCCATGGCTGTGCCGGCGTGACTTAGCACCGAGTACCGGCGCCGGGCTCCAGGGGTGTTGCACTAAACAACAAGGCAACTTTCCAGGCAGTCGGGGGTTTGTGCACAAACCGGTACGTCTCCAACTTCGTCCGAAACCTTTGCCGACGCCAGCCGGACCAAGCCGTACACACGTGAGCTGGTTGCAGGTAGAATTCAGGCTAACAGTGGTTAGTATTCAAGCTAATACAGGGCTTAAGACAACTTTTCTTAAACCTAAAAAGTATTACAGTGCCCCAGGCTATCGGAGGGGGCAGGACCGGAGGACCTGGAAGCAGCAGCACCTTTCCCAGGAC